ACATAAAAAAAAAAATAACAGGTATGTATATATATATATATATATATATATATATATATATATATATCATTGAATTGTTAGTTGTATTCATTCGGTTGATTAGACATGCTTTGATTGTTAAGTTTAATAAAACAATTAAAACAAAATCCAAAAAAACAGAATTTGGGAAAATAAAATGAAATTTGGGAAAAATTAAAATAGATTTAATTGGGCTCTAAAAATGTAATTTTTGTTAAACTTGTAATAAATTGTATAAGTTTCATTTTCACAGTTGGTTATGCATGCTTTTTGAATACTAAAATGTAAATGTAATAAAAAACACAATTTGAGGAATAAAAAATAAATAAATAAAACTGATTTCATAGGGCCCTACAGAAGTGCTGCAGTTATTAAGCTTTTCTTTAGTTGATGTCTGTGTCCAATTGATATGATTATTTATTCGCCAATTTTTTTTCTCATTTTGTGGTGTGGAGAATAATTTTAGACGTAGCATCTGCAGAGTTTGTCCTAGCAGCATTTAGAACGTTATCACAGCTATTCGACACTTATTCCACTTTACAGAGAAAAATGGGCGTGCTTGCATTGACTTTTCCCATCATCCTCTTCCCTCCCTTGGCCTCGGTTCAGTGTAGAGCGAGTTGCACTTTGCAGGTGGGCAGGAGGATGACAATTCTGTTGGCTTGTCTGAAATATGATTGGAGTAGCAACACACGACACAGTGAAATATTGATGAGTGACTGAGGGGTCCAGATGGAGCTGCTACCTGCTGAGTGTTATGAGCTCAGACACACGTCAGCTCCCATCATCCATGCCCCATCTCCCCTGACAGAGACGCACTCCTTAAGAGCAGTGTGTGTGTACAGTTAGAAGTCCTCAAGAACAGCCACACAACAGTCAACCAATAACCTTGTCAGTAGGAGAATTAACACAAATCAATAATAAACGTGTATGTAAGCATAAATACAAATTTATGTATTTAAATTTATGTATTTAAGAGTTCAAATAGGATTTAAAGGAACACTCCACTATTTTTGAAAATAGGCTCATTTTCCAACTCCCCTAGAGTTAAACAGTTGAGTTTTACCGTTTTCGAATCCATTCAGCCAATCATATCATCAATATCAATATCATTGCACCTGCTGCACCCATGGTACGGCAGCAAAGTTCCTTGATTATAATGCCGGAATGAGAGTATAGTTCCAAGCCATATCAGCCTAGAAAATCGCAACTTTTCATTTTCCGTCGGTCTTAGTACACAATGTAACGACAAAAGAGTCAAGTTTTAAATAGGAAAAATATCATTTTCTTTGGTCATTTTTGAGCGAGATGCTAATGGTCTAATCAGATTCAATTATCTATGCTAAGCTACAGCTAAAAGTGCTACCGCCAGACCCGGAGATCGGCTGAATGGATTCGAAAACTGTAAAACTCAACTGTTTAACTCTAGGGGAGTTGGAAAATTAGCCTATTTTCAAAAATAGTGGAGTGTTCCTTTAATGATGGGAACAATTGGAAAAGATTATTCAGCTTAAGGTTTTCCCCAGTCAAACCTTGGAAATTTATAAATGCCATGTGGTGCAACCAATATGCATAAACATACAAGAGAAAAAAATTAAGGCCCGCAGGGATCCCTCACTATGATATCAAATTTAACATTTTGTTAGTTCAGGTTGTAAAATGGTCACTCGTATGCTAACCACGGCTGCATTTATTTGATCAAACATTCAGTAAAAAATATTGTAAAAACATTACAAATTAAAAGAACTGTTTTCTGTATACATTATTACATTTTTCCTGTAGTGGCAAATCTGAATTTTCAGAATCATTACTCCAGGCTTCAGTATCACATGATCCTAATTATAATATGCTGATTTGCTGCTCAACACACATTTTTATCATCATCACAGTTGAAAATTGCTGTGGTGCTTAATATTTTATTTTAATTCTTTGATGAATTTATGAAGAAAAAAAAAAAACGGTAATTGAGACTTTACATCTTGCAGTTCTTGACTTTTTTTCCCCCTCAGAATTGTGTGATAAAATCGAAATTTCTAGTTATCAAGTCAGAAATGCTCACAATTCTGAATTTTTGTTTTTGTAACTGTGAGTTTATAACTTGCAATTGACCATTTTAATCACAATTCTGATGATTTTTTTTTTAGAATTGTGAGATATAAACAATTGCGAGTTAAAAAATACTATTTTCTTAATTGCGATTTATATCGTACAATTCTCACTTTATAACATGCAATTGCAACTTTATAAAGTTAAACTTTATACTTTTATAAAAGTATAAAGTACTTGTGTACTTTATACTTTTTACTTTTAAAAGTAAAAGTAAAGTAAACTTTATATCATGCAATTATGAACTTATATCTTGCAATACGAGTTTGTATAATGCAATTCTGAGAAAAGAACGTCGGAATTGCAAGAAAAATGTCAAAACTGTTAGATAAAAAGTTGCAGTGATCTTTTTAATTTTTTATTCAGTGGCAGAAATGGGCTTCCATAGAGAACAGTGTTTATTTGAAAATTTTGATTTTTTTGTTTTGTTTGTAACGATGTTAAAGTCTTGTCACTTTTGATCAATTTAATGCATCCTTACTGAACAAAAGTATTAATTCCCTTGGGAAAAAATCTCACTGACCCAAATGTTTGAACGGTGTTACGTATACGTCTCTTTTTTTGTTTTTTTTTTGTTTATATAATGGTTCTAATTTATTTAATCTCCTCAGGTTCACGGTCTACTGGTAACGGTGAGTTTGGTGACTGGAACGCCTTCTCCTCCACCAGTCCTCCTGCTGTCACTGCTCCGTCTGCCATCCCAGATCTGTTCAGTGAAGTGCCCACATCCACCCACCCGCCTTCCGCTGACCTCTTTGACCTGATGACCCCCAACAACAGCAGCCTCAGCGCATCCCAAAGCATGACCTTCAACATGTGCCCGCAGAACGCAACCACGCCTCTGTCCAGATCACAGGTAAACGTGGGTTCGGTTCGTCAGAAAGGTTTCCCAGAACAGCAGATTCGCCAACGTGCATGCATTTTTCACACCTTCCTCAAAGTAGGTGTGATTTGTGCACCTGCACTATTGTCAACAAAAAAAGAAAATATTTTTTTGGACCACGCAATGTTCAATCACAATGATGTAGCTGGAGCTTCCTGAGAAATGGCAGATTTCTGGCTGATGACGTATGCAGGACTCCAAGCATTTAGGTGAGACACACGCCTCAAAGTTTCAGGAGTGATATCTGCATTTAAATTTAGAACAGCAGTGTTCTGTGTTTTGGAAGGCTGCTTCGAAGAGCGCGTTCATGAAGTGTTGCCATGTTCACTTGTTTTAAGTGATGCTTTTAAAGCATCTTTGGACTTAAATGATACACAATTAATAAAATAGGCCGGTTGCGCTATTTTGGCTTTTTTTAAGACCGCTTTTGAATTTAAGTTTATTATTGTCTTGTTCTTATTTGCTTTTTCTAGCAAGATCTGGCAACACTAATGAGTTAAGACGTTCCTTGTTCCCTGTCATTACTTGTACCACTCATAAGAGGAGACAATTCTGATACTTTTTTTTTTGTTTTTGCAAATGCGGTTGTCACTACCTGAATTTTTCAGGTAATTCAGAGTTAATTTGGTTATAGAATGTGGTTGTTACTCCTGTAAACTGCTGAACTGTGTGGGTACAGAACATGATTAAGCACTAAAAGGTGAATTTGGCTGCAGTGTATATGTGGCCTTAGTCTACTTAAACCTGCCCCTCAATTCAAGTTTATCTGTCTCCACTTTTGCCTGCAGCATCCACATCTCAAACTTTTTCTACATTTATTCGTTTTTGATAACCCGTTCAATTCAGAAGAAAATACAAAAGATTATAGAATATTTATTAGAAGATGATACAGAATTTTATTCTGTAGATAAAATAATAATTATTGTTGTTGTAGTTATATGGAATGAGTTTCGTGTAAATGGTGTGAATGTGGCGATAAGTCGGAAAATGAAGTAGTGCACTCAAAATATATTCCCATGGTTGGCAGGTCAGGAACAGAATATAACACGGTGAATCAGTTTGGAGTTCATATATGGGTTGAATTAAATGGATACATGTTGTTAATCGAGCTTTGTCCTATTATGAGTGGCATTATAAGTCAACCAACTTTGTTTTATGAAAAGTATGAGTCGCCTAAAATATTAAAATTAAAAAGTGATGCAGTACAGTCGGTGTATTGTTCAGTATTCTATTATTGCGAATCATCATATTATCATTTTAAAAATTGTGCTGTAATTTGAAATTAGTATGAGTTTAATAGGGTATATTTTGTTGTAATTATAAGATATCATTTACCGTAATTTCCTCTTCCTTGTCAGACAATAGGCGGCCCGTTATTGCCTCAGCAGATGGGACTACAAAAGTCAGGTGGGAAGGTATCAATGCCTGCCACCTGGTCAGACCCAAGCGTGAACATCAGCCTGGATTTCCTGTCTGCAGGCCTGAACCCTTCCAAACCCACACAGCCCACACTCAACACCATGATGCAGCAAGGTTAGAGATCCCAAACAAACTATCTACAGGTGCATCTCAATAAATTAGAATGTCGTGGAAAAGTTAATTTATTTCAGTAATTCAACTCAAATTGTGAAACTCGTGTATTAAATAAATTCAGTGCACACAGACTGAAGTAGTTTAAGTCTTTGGTTCTTTTAATTGTGATGATTTTG